GGATAGGTGAAATTCTTACATATGTAAAACTTATTTGATGCAGAATTGTAAACAAAAAATGTTGGTAAAGACAACAGAAGACTTAAGCCAAAGTTAAATGAAATGGTAGAAGTAAATACATTCACTTCTACCAGTAGTGAATGTCATCAAAACTACAGTGGCAGAGAAAATCACACACTGAAAATAACTCTAGTAGGAAGTTAAAATTAGTATGTATCTTCAAAGTTTGTAAAAACTATGAAATTGTTCAGTCCACACCTTAGAAAGTATATGTTGTATTTTTACTTCCAAGAAATACCAGTGAGAAACCCATACCAAGCAGGAAGTCAACCCAAGACTTGATTGTAACTTATGAATTACTTAAATTTAAGACTCTCCATGCCTCCACCCATAACTATGGCTCCTATCCAGTAGAAGTTCCACCAACTCCAATGAACTTTAATGTGAATACACTAGATTATAGTTTTTCTTCTCTTTTCTACTCGTATATTCTCCACTCTTACTTTGCCTTTTTCTTTCACTCTTTCTTGTATGCATGCATACGTCTCCTATAAGCCCATAATAAAACTGTAGTGTCAGCTAATCTTAAAGCCATATAACCTGTTTCCCATTGATCAAAATTCTACACTTACTTTTTACTTTTGACCCACATTCAGTATGGTCAGTATAAGTTCAGAATAAAGTATTCTGATTTCATGAAAGTCTTGAATTACATCTAGAACATATATCTAGAACTATATATTTTTACTAGAGGTCAGTTTAGACCACTTTAATGTATTCAGGTGCCCTCTGGGCACAAAGGGAAACTAAAAATGGAAATAAATGAATTGAACAATTTTGCTTATGGAAGCTCTTAGGCCAACAGAGTCCATAAATATAGAACTGCAAGGGAAGTGTAGACATACCACAAATCCAGAAACTCTTAATTAAAACTCATCTTAAAATGGACGAAAGCCATGACTATAACTTCAAATTCATCCCTCTGCCTAAACGCCAAATTCCTGATGAAATAAGAATGCATTTGCTTGCTTCCAAAACCTAACATGCAATAGACAAAGTGGAGAGTTTCATGTATTATGTGCACTGATCTGATAGTCTCAAGCTATTGTAAACATACATGCTTCTCCATTCACATGGTGGCTTTAACAGGAAGAAAGAAGACTAGCTCATGCCATCAGCACCAATGGCTTGTGACATCTCAGCTATTGAAGGTTTTCCCTTTCCAATCTTTTTCGCTTTCGTATTTTTAATTCATTTCACCTTGAGTAATTTGACAAAAGGGCAGTACATAAATGTAAAATAAAAACTGCAATCTCCCAATACGTTTCTGTTACAGCACATTATCTACAGCCTCTGTGCAACTTGCTAGTATGTTCTTGCCATGGCAGTATTATCCAAACATTGGATTTCTGCCTGCTTACAGCTGTCAAAGAACCCTGCTTTTCCCCAATGCCAACCCTACACCAAAGACTAGTACAGTGGTACCTCTGGATGCGAACGGAATCCGTTCCGGAGCCCCGTTCCCATCCAGAGCAGAACACAATCCGTGTCTGCACGTGCGTGGGTCGCGATTCGCCGCGCCTGCGCATGACATCATTTTGAGAGTCTGCGCATGTGCGAGTGGCAAAACCCGGAAGTAACCCGTTCTGTTATTTCCGGGTCGCCGTGCAACGCAACCTGAAAACGCTCAACCTGAAGCGTCTTTAACCCGAGGTATGACTGTACTCAGTTACCTAGTGGTAACCCCCATTAAACAATCTCTTACTTCCGAGCAGACATGAATAGCATTGTACTGTAACTTTACAGTGAATTCTTAATGAGAACCTGGTCATTTGCTCCTGCGCAGCAGGTGACATGCATAAGCCTCTTTCCAAAGTTTTATCATTTTGCATTTGCCATTAACATCCACCCACACATACTGTGCAGTAGTATTTTCAGAAAATAACTTCTAAGGAGTACCTAATCTCAGTGAGCCCACCACAGGAAAGATGTATACTGATTTCTAGGAAACAAGGAAGGGCAAACTAAAGAGGCTTCAAGGACTCGAAAATGAGACAAAAGCGGGAACAAGGGAAGCAGGAAGGGGAAGCAGAAGATCCTTAGGACTCCAAGGATTTCTCTTGCCTGATCTCCAAATAACTCACTCATTAATCACAGCTCAAACTTCACTCACAGTTATGAACACTGAAAGGAATGACAAGCCAGGTTGGCTTATCCCACAAAAATCAATTAGAAAGCCTTTAATATCTTTCTTCATAACTTACTTTCTAGGAGGGCTACAGACTGACTTCTTCTCCTTCTCCTTTTTAAAGAAAGTTCAAAGTAACCCTGAAATCATTACCTAAAAAGGTTCTGCAACAGTCTATAAGAAGTCAGCCAATCTATGCATATTTGGAAAATAATACTGATTATAAAGGGCCAGCATCAGTTTCACCAGATCTTTTTTTGATAGAGTTACTAGCCTGGTAGATCAGGGAGATAATGTGATCACAGCATATATTGATTTCTACAAGGCTTTCAACAAGACCCCCACAACATTATTGCAGGCAAACTGTTACATAGGTTTGTAGCTAGCTGAAGGGCCATACCTACTAAAGGGTACTCATCAATGGCTCCCCATCAACTTAGAGGGGAGTGACATGGGTTCAGATCTGGGTCAATAATTGTTCAACATATTTATAAATGGAGCAAGTCCAAAGGAGGGCAACAAAGATTAAAGATTGCAGAGGACATCTGGGGAAAAAGTCCTGACTCTCAGCTCGGAATGGTGGCTTCTCTTTCATTTGAGGTTTTAAGTAGATGTTACATGACTGCCTATCAGGAATGCTACACGTGAATTTTCAGCCTCAACAGGTATTACAACTAAATAAAAATTCAAGCTTCCAACTCTTGAGTGTGTGTATGAGAGGGGTGGGGGGTGGGAGAAGATAAAGTTAGCTTGCGCAGAATAAAGCAGTAATGCACTATGCTCAGCTGAATAAACAAATTGTCCTGGGTGGATATTATAGAACAGTATATACAAAGCAAGCTATCTTTAAGGCGATTCCATATCAAAACCAAGACAGATACTATTGTAAAACCCAATTTGACTAAAAAAGCTGGAGCCAAACAAGTTCTCTTCCGATAAATAGTCTGTATTGAGTCTCCTACTAGTGACAGATGAAGTCTAAAAGCAGTCTGGTATTCAGAGAATCAGTTTAATTACTGCCATCCTGATTTTATGAAATGTTCAGCTCGTAGCCCCAGTGGAATTGAAAGACAAAATGAATCCTGTTTCCTTGGTTTTAAGTCAGAATGGATAAGAGATGGAAGGCTATAACACAACCCATACTTAATAGTGATTGTGGCAAGACACTGTTTATGTGAAGAATTTTAAAAACAAAACAAACTCAGAGTCTTGCTCATCATAGGCAAGGTTTAAGATCCACATTAAATGAATTGTAACACTGTTATTTGAAGACACTGAATGCAAACTGAGAATGCTGGAATAACGGGGTGATTTAGCATCTGGAAATGTTTTTAAAAGAAAATATCCACACACTAACATATATCTGAACAAAAAAGTTGTGCCTGAATACCAGCACTATTAGTGCTCCCTTATTCCACCACCCTTTCTTTTGTCATGTTTTTGGGAGGGGAGGGCACTGAGATTTCTTATCTATTTTATAAAGTGTATGTTTTTATTGTATCATTGGTTACTGGACTATGAAGCTTTTAAAAAAAATCCTCATGAAGATATTTTATACTTCTGCATTACAAAATTATGTCAGTAAAATCTTGTATTTCATCCTTGGCATCCCTAGGAGTAGGTGAAACACAAAGAAGCTCAGTTTCCTCGAGTACCACATGGGTTTAATCTTTGATTAATTGAACAAAAACTAAAAAAAAAAACCAACCCAGACGTTATTTCTTTTAATCACAGGAAAGATAACTCTTCTGTGGCTTTACTGGTAAGAGAGCCAGCAGATGTCTGTCTGGTCTGGAGGGAATTTCCCTTTCTCAAGAGAAAACAGCTTAAATAGAAGAGGAACAACCATATGCTGACTATGCACTGCTTAACAGATGACGTAGACATGCATCCACTACAATGGTGAAAGGAGACTTTTAAATTAAATTTCATTTAACATGCAATGCAATCAGCTGAAAGCAATTTACATGGTGGATCCAAGTTAGGTCAGATGATTGTCATCTGAATTATCTGGACACAAAAACAGAAAGCTAGCTTACTGAGCAACGTGATTGTTATAATGATGATGAAATCAAAATGAGTGACCCTCAGTGTTCAAGGTCTTTTAGGGTTTATATTTTCTTGAGGGAAATGCCTGTATAAAGCTCTAAAACCATATTTTTTATCACCTATGTGACAAGACCCTAAATTATCCTTTGCAATGCCAGCACAAATTGAGAAGAAGAAAAAATGTTCAAGACAAATAAAAGAAAAGCCCTCAAGCACAATCTTAAATTAAAGAACCTAAAAAGAACTCTACCTACTCCAGTCTCCCCTTTGCCATACTGACCAGATGCCTCTGGGAAGATCACATGCAGGACATTAAGAGAGTAATCCATTCCCACTGTGGTTCTCCAGTAACTGACATTCCATCAAATTGTCTCTGAACCTGGGGGTAGTATATAGATGTTATGACTAGTAGTCATTTACAGCCTTACCTTTCATGAATGTCTAATCCCATTTTCAAGTCATCTAGTCAATGGCCACTACTGCATCTTGTTGTAATCAATTCCACAGCTTGTACACAGCAAATACCTAGAGAGCACCTGGCTGGGGAAGACTTCATAGAATTATAGAGTCATAGGATCATAGAGTTGGAAGGGACCCAATGGTCATCTAGTCCAACCCCCTGCAATGCAGGAATCACAGCTAAAGCATCCATGAGAGATGGCCATCCAACCTCTGTTTAAAAACCTTCAAGGAAGGAGAGTCCACTACTCTTGTGAATGTTTGTTCCACTGCTGAACAGCTCTTACTGTCAGAAAGTTTTTTCGAATCTTTAGTCGAAATCAACCTGAAGCCATTGGTTAGAGTCCTACCTTCCAGAGCAGGTGAAAACAAGCATGCTCCCTCCTCCATGTGACAGCCCTTAAGATATTTGAAGATGGCTATCATATCTCCTCTCAGTCTCCTATTTTCCAGGCGAAACATACCCAGCTCCTTCAAGCACTCCACATAAGGCTTAGTTTCCAGACCCCTAATCATCTTGGTTACCCTCCTCTGCACACATTCCAGCTTGTCAACATCCTTCTTAAATTGTGGTGCCCAGTATTCCATGTGTGGTCTGACTAAGGCAGAATAGTGATACAATTACTTCCTTTGATCTGGACACTATACTTCTGTTGATGCAACCTAGAATAGCATTAGCATTTTTGCTGCTGCATTACACTGTTGACTCATGTTAAGCTTGTGGTCCACCAAGACCCCTAGATCTTTTCACATGTCCTGCTAATAAGCTGGATGTCCTCCCATGCTATATTTGGGCATCTCGTTCTTCCTGCCTAAGGGCAGATCCTTACATTTGTCCCTACTGAAATTAATTTTGTTAGCTTGCACCCAGTTCTCCAATCTGTTATGGTCATTTTAAATTCTGATTCTGTCTTCTGTGGAATTAGCTACCCCTCCCAGTTTGGTGTCATCTGCAAATTTGATGAGCATCCCCTCAATTCTTTTATCCAAGTCATTTATAAAAACATTGGACAACAATGAGCCTAGGACAGAACTCTCAAAGAACCCAAATGGTTAATGAAAAGGGACTTATCTTTGCAGAGGTGATTTTGACTTTTTTCCAGAAAGACATGTACTTCTGTAGGTTGGATGATTTTACTGAGGTGTTTCTGGTAGGTGTGCTTTGCAATTCTGGCAATGTTTTGGTCACTTTGTAAAATGAAGAGATGACCAAAGCAATTAACTTAGTAGCTCCTAAGTGCCATCTCCCACACTGTAACACTTGCTTGGGTCTTTGGTTTAGAAATCTCAAACCAATAAAACAGGTTAGGAGACAATTAGAGTGACAAAAGATGTGTCATTCAGACACAGATAAGAGTTCAGTATTAAGCCTGTAGATGGGATGAAGGTGAAGCAGTAATACTTTTTCTCCATCATCTGGAAATATATCAGTTGGGTCAGAACCTACTTCAGCTTGAGCCATGTGGAGTTGAGGGAACCATTGGAGGCCAGATATTTACTAAGCACCTTAAAGACAAATCACTCACATTGGACTAGATGCCACATTTTCAAATGGGTAGATCCAGAAAAGAAACCAGTGTTTCATCTAAGCTAGTATTGCATGATTAGTCTCTATTGTTGGCACAACAGGAGGTGAACAAGGAACTTGGGGGGGGGGGGGGGAGTCTGACCTATCTGTTGTAAGCACCTTTGATCTCCTCAACTTATAATTTCTAGTAATGAGGGACTGTCTGCCTGGGTTCAGAATATTATAAATGGCTTTTTGGCAGATGGGTGGTCCTGACTACTTCAAGGACGTTTTTGCAAAGGCCACATCTGAATATAACTTCATTGGGCATTCTTTGGATTATAGTAACTACTGCCTAGTTACAAATGTCTCTTTCTTGGGCAAGGTTTTGCAGTGAGAGTTTGCCAGTCAGCTAGGCAATGAACATAAAATAGGACATGATAGCCAGACAATGAGCCTTTTTTGGGGGGGGGGGTGACACATGCACTAGAGCAGGGATGTCCAACAGGTCAATAACAATCTACTGGTAGATCCCCGCAATGTTTCGGTAGATCGCGGCCGATCTCTGGCTCCCTTTCCTCTGCGTCAGTAAATCTGACTCCTGTCCCGCCTCCTTGTCCCGCCCTCCATTGCTGTTTGAACTCAGGAAGGGAAGATGGAGTTCCCTCTGTGTGGCTGTTTTAATCCATAGCGATGTTTTTGTGTGTGAACTAACCCCTTGCCTTCCTCCCACTCCACAAAAAGCCTGCACCTTAACCCCCCAAAACAGTGCTTTCTTCCCAAAAAAGCTCAACAACTTTGAGCTGAACCCCTAAAAAACCGGGGGTAGATCACTGCCAGATTTTTATTCTGAAAGTAGATTGCAGTCTCTTGGGAGTTGGCCACCCCTGCACTAGAGACACATGGAGAAGAGTAATATGTATATATGTTTATCTGCTAATTCTAGAAGCCTCGGTGGCCCAGATGAGATAACTTGAGCATTTAGTTTTACTTAAGGCAGCTATGACTAGTCAATCTACTGAGCTTTAGTTATGAGTTGAATGGAATGTAGCTGGCATGTAAAACAGACAAGTCTTCAATCACTTTGAGTAGAATTCAAGCAATTCAATTCACAATACTGTTTATGATGAGTTGTCTATACACATACTTTTGCATATCTTAACTGGAAACCAACCTTGGTGCCTCTTTAAGCATTGGATCAAAACTGAAGGGATTCCTGGCTAGTTTTCTAGAGGGAGGAAGAAATGTCTAAGAAAACAGTACAGGAAATAATACTGTGTCAGGTCAAGGTGTAACAGAAGCCCAAGCATGTTCAGTAAGATTAATAGGACAACTCGGGGGGGGGGGGAGAGAGCATATTTTGCAAAACGAGTTAGAAGAGCACACCATACACCAAGTTTCTGATTCTAATAAGATCATGGTTATGCCAAAGAAATCAGATAATGTTGGTGACTTGTGAGACCCTCACACAGTTAGTGTTATTAAACAAGTAGTTCATTATTTAAATCTGCCGTATATAGCAGAGGGTCAGGGGAAATAAGAAAAAGCTGCCTCTTTTTTAATCAGTATCAGTGTAGCTGATGTAGTATCAATCAGTGGATAGTTGCAAAGAATGTGAAACCTGGTAAGAAACTATCCTCATCTCTCTCCCCAAACTCCCATGGGAAAGATAGACAGACATTATCTTAATAATTAAACCTGCCTCCCATCATCTCCTAAGTGATCTTTTTTTATCTGGGGTCTCACTCATAATTAGTTGATAGCAGTTAACGGTTTGGCAAACCCTGATAACTTATCAATTAGCATGGTATAAGCCTTCAAATTAGAATCCGCATGAGGAAGAGCACATTCCCACAATCAACAGAGTACAAGACAGTCACACTAGCTGCACTGGAAACATATTCTGCTTCTGGCAGAACACCAACATTAGCACTTCAGAACAATACCAGTAAGAGGCTTGTTGGCACATGATTGTGCAAAGTTATTCACCAGCATCTGGTTATTATTAACACTCTGGTTCTGGTCTAGCCTCCTGGGCAGAATCAGGAACTGTTGAATCTGTCTTTGTCTTTAGCTCTACTTTAAATATCTACAGATAAGTTCTATATCCCCCAAGACAAGACTTGTTTCAAGGATTACATTCTAAATTTTAAAATACTCTTAAACCTAGCACCTAACTGAGCCTGTAATACAGCTAGAAAAGTACAAAAAAATACTAACCAAAAATCCTATGTAACAGAACACTACAGCAAATCAGTGCAGCTGGACTAGATTATGTACTCCACTTACTCATGCCAGGAGGAAAAGTAACTTGGTTGCTTTCTGTCTCTGGCGGCTTTGGGTAAAGTACTCAAAATATATGATACCCCCATTTATCTGGCATTTTCTTCCTTTTTTTACACAGCTGCAAGAATTTCAGCTATTTCAATGTAATAAACTCCAGACTAAGGTAAATAGCTTGGCTAGTGTCTCATCTCCTAAGTGTTAGTAGCAATATGAACCCTTTTGCATTCTGGACCAAACAATTAAAAAGAAAGAAAAGAGATTATGCTGTTTCATTTACTGTCCCAAATTTCTGCTCAAACATTTGTGAGTGACTCAGAGCCTTACTACACTTCAATCTTCCTACACAAATCCTTCCTAAACACAACAATATATGACAAATACTGAACAAGCTTTATTCAAAATGAAATCAATAAATAAACAGAAAGAAGAAACTTATTTTGTTATGTGTGGAGCTGGCCATATGTAGTGTGTTCATGTACACATGGCACAGTTAATGGTTTTCCATACTTGGGGAAAGAGGTATCTATGGAAGGCAGTAGTGTCTATGAAAGACTGGAATGTAAGAATCGTCACTGCAGAATTATAGGTCCTTCCTAGCTTTGGTTTTATTTTTGTGTCCTTTTGACTCTTATCCAGTCCAATGCCAGCCTTGTTCCTTTCAAGGGCCCAGTGAGGAGGTGAACAACATTACACCCTCCATGAAAAATGCTGCTTGGGAATGGGAAAGAAAATTAGGAGGATTTTCTCTAGGTCCAAGGTATTTGTAACAAGTGTTCCAGTAAGCTAGACTTACAGTATCCTCTTCCAGGATAGTCCATTTAATTCCTCATGTTTTCACACACATCCTCAGTATGTTCAATCTTCATTGACTTGCTTCTCGTGGGGGGCGGTGTCTAAGGATTTGTTATACTTCTGCAAACATTGGAGTTCGCTCACACCTGTGGATACCTCCCTTTTGTGTGTATGAATAGTGTGGGTCTGGCTACATAAAGACACACAGAGACAGAAGGTGTTTGCTACTAGTTTATAGGATTTCTTTTTGCCCTGTTTCTGTTCATCCCAGAAAATCATCCCAGAATTAAACAGAAAACTTGAAAGCCTAGACCAAATCTTCTGTTAAATGACACTCAGTGATAATCTGTTGTGCTGCTGGCTAAAGTAGCAAATGACATTACTTGAAATCGCCAACATTTCTATGAATAGAAAAAGCTAATATAACCATATGCTTTTTTTGAAATACTGTATATACTACCTTGCAAAACAGCAAGCTTATACAAAAAAAAGTTATCTTATTGCACAGGAAGTAAGATTTTAAATGTCATCTCATTTTTAAAAGCCTTAAACAGGCATCTAGTAACTCAAGATACCAACTGCTCTTATAGCTGTAATACAGTAATACTCAGTTTACAGCAAATAGAAAATAGGAAAGTTTTTTTTAAAAGTGCTTATGAACAGCTGTTCAGTTAAACCTTTTAATGCCTCAACAGCCTTTTAAATGCTACTGCTTCAAGGTACATCTTCAGAAAACATATTTTCCCCATGCCTGAGGTTTGCTTCAAAAAGAAAAGTAAAAAACCTGCTTCGAAATCTACTCTAACAGATTAGAGTAGTGTTGTAATAAAAATTACCTTCACCCTAACCCAATTTTATTCTGTGTTGTCCCCATCTGTTGAAAAAGTGCTGCATGCATTCTCAAAACATAAAGTAAGTACTGCCAGATATGATCACCAATTTGAGGAAGGAAGGCTTGTTACAGAAGCCACTTTTTCTCTATCCTGGTGACAGATGATTTAGTGCTGAATTTATTTATTTCATACAACTTATAATCTGGGAGATAGTAAACAAACAAAAAACCTCAAAGTGCTTTACAAAATGAATAAAACAGTAAAATTATCAGTAAAAAGGGCTAAAAACAACTATTTAAAACATTCAAAAATAATTAAAATGAACAATAAAAACAGATTAAAACACATGTCACCATTCTACATATCTGAATGCCAAGCTAACAGCAGCTACCATTTGAGTAGTATGGAGATCTTTGTGCACAGTGCCAAATATGCACCCTGAAGCTAGTTTTGCAGGTCATGGCCAGAGGATGCAAGTCACATTCAACTATAGTGAATGAATGATCATCTGCTGTTTTTGTGGACCAGAGTGGCACCATATAGTCTCTTATCAATGCCCTATTAATCTTGGTACTTTCTGAGCAAAGAGCTTTTAAAACACAGCTCTCCTCAAGACTGTATGTTAAGGATAGTGATTCTATTTCAAAACATGAGGATTATATGATTGCATTGGGTAAGAAGTTACACAACAACAATAATTTTTACTAAGAAAACAGACTAAACATGACTGATGTGGGGAAAAGTCTTTAGGAGGTAATCATAAATCTCAACACTAAAATACTATTTATTGGAACTGTTTATTTCAGGGGTGACTAATCTGTGATCCTTCCATCAGGCTCAGTCATCTTGGCCAAGTGTCAAAAATGATGGGAAGTGCAGACCAACAACATCTCTACTGTCCTATATCCTTCTGGTATACCTTATATGAATCATACTTTTCTTGGAAAGCCTGGAACAAATTTACATTCTGTTTAACCAAATTTATTAAAACAGTTGTCTGCTATGAACCAATCCATACTGTTCTAAGCAAGGCTGCCTAGGGTTAGCTACAATGAGTTTTTTGCTTTGTTTTAAAATATATATATTTAAAGCTTACTAATTTAACTTTTCCAACAAGCATCACTCTTTTAATACTAACAGTTTTAGGTGTATATTGAAAGAAAAACTTTTAAGAAATCTTTTTTTATATATAAGATATTTATTAAGATTTTTTAATGAAAATGAGAAAAGAAAAAAAAATAGCAAAAATACAAAATAAAAATAGTTAAAAACACACAGATTTTCCATTACTTATTTTCCTTTGACTTATTTCCCTCCTCATACCTCCCTTTTTTGTATTCCACTTCAATCTGTTGGTTCAGCAAATCCTTTAAAGGTAATAATATTAAATTTTTACCTATTTATAACCCTTTTTCTCATATTCCCTTAAAGCATTACAGCTGGAAACCACTTAATTACTATCCAACATCATTCCAACATTCATTAATTTTACAATATTTCTGTAGATAATCTTTGAATTTCTTCCAATCTTCTTCCACCGACTCTTCTCCCTGGTCTTGGATTCTGCCAGTCATTTCTGCCAGTTCCATATAGTCCATCAGCTTCATCTGCCATTCTTCCACAGTGGGTAAATCTTGTGTCTTACTTTTAAGAAATCTTAAAAGGCTGGCATGTTAGCACCCAAAGAGCATTAGCTTTTCCTTATTTTGAATACAAAAAATGCAGTATGCTTTAAGTGTTTATGTCACTGCTAGATTCTTGTCTGGACTTAGAGAAGTAAGCAATGCTTCATCTCCCTGTGAAAACTGATCTCTATAGAGGAAAAATTGCCCTGCATAGTTTTGACAAGAACATGCCCTTTACCACATTACATTGGACCTTTAACTACCAGAGAACATGTCCCTGTAGATGGTAATCTGAACCTGGTTATATTCCACAAAAACAAATAACACTGAATTAATTTAAGTACCTTTCAAATAATCAAAAAGCTGGGTTCAGAAACTCAAGAAAAGAGCTGAGCAGATTTCAGTAGTAATATAGCAGCTCTTAAGAGTGGGTTCTGCTTCCATACTATCATTGTCTTTGCTAGCAGAAAATGTTTTAGGAGTTGGCTGCATGCCCCATCAACTTCCATCAACTTAAAGCCACATCTGGCTGTGAGTCTGACAGGTAACCTAAGAAAAGTTTACTAAAAATAAATGTGTACAACAAAATAGAAAGAACAGCAGCTAAAATTCCTTGCAGGAATACAGAACAGTGTTTATTGAGCATCAAAGAATTACAGCTTCTATGTTCTGCTTATGATTTTGTTCAGTTTTCCAAAACCATATATTACATATAATGTTAGAGGTCACATTTTATTTTCATTACTCTCCTTTAGTATAGTCAATGTTTTTAGCTTATCTCCGGTTAAGCTGCTTTCAGTATCCAAAATTTTCCAACCACTGTATCAGACACCAACAATACTTCTATTTTTCTGCCATTTCAATATTTATTTTTCTATATAGCTTTCCACAATGTGATTTATGATCAGTAAAATACATAAAAAGATGCAACAATAAAATCTCTTTTCATTCAACAATTAAAGTAAATTGTATACATATGGCCCAATTCTTCTAACCCAATATATCAAGCATCATATTTCAATCTCCAAAGGCCATTCTACAAAAGGTGTATCTTTAAAGCTAGTTTTAAAAAGGTCAGGATCTATTTTTAACCAGGATTTTACTGAAACTATTTAGTCAGGTGGAAAATAAGCCTGACAATGTTGTAAACAAACAAACAAACAAACAAACAAACAAACAGCAATATATAACTTCCTAATTAACAGTTCACTCAGTATTCACTCATATAGCTCAGAATATGTAGCTGCAAATAAAAATGCTGTCATAGAAATACATACAGTATAGAAAATAATTCCAGGGAAAGGGAATTTGAAAATGACAGAAGCAAAAGGAAAGCAGGCATCACCAACTTGCCAATACAACAGGTCTCAGCATGGGTAGAAGTACAGTACTCTTAATAACCTCCAAATAACTCTGTTTACATTGGATATTTAGGAAGACAAACAAGAGCTTTGCTCTCTTCTCCTAACTGCATTATAACAAGAAACTCCTTTCAGCCTTCCGTCCTTGGTTTGGAGAAGATAATAGATTGGGCGGGGGGGGGGGGGGACACAACTTCCTGCATTTCTCACAATTTCCAAATGACTGGTTAAGTTATGAGACAACACAGTCAACCCTGCCCATCACATTTTCTGACAAGCACACAGGACTTTGGGAACGCAGTATTGTGAGCAGGTTTCAATAAGATTAAAAGACAGTGGTTGAGATTTATGATGTTTCATATCTAAATCTCTCTGGGTTGTCTTCCAAGAACTGTCTGCAAGCTGGAACGAAGGCAAACATTTCATTTCACTTATGCAGCAGTTTGAATAAGCTTAGAAACAGAAATTGAGGAAAACCCTTTACAAACTCTGTATTCCTGTAACATAACTAAAGTCCCTCCCTGTCTTCCATCCTTCCTTCTGTGCATGCCAGGAGACTTGGGGTTGTGGGAATAAACAAGGTGACCCATGGCAAGTAAACATCACAGATTTGAGCAGGAGAGCCTCATGGCTGGAAGCAGTTGTATGTAGGTGGGGAGAGAGACGTTGCAAAGGCAAGAAGAGGGAACTCCAATACAACTGTGGGATCAAGGGGATAGTTTGGCAGACCAGAAAACAGGCACTGATACAGAGACTTAAAGACGGGAAAGGGGAGCAAACAGGGGTATAAACAGACAAACAACAAGGAGCCTAAATAACTGCAGCAGAGTGCCTTTCTTTCACCATAACTGGGAAAGTGCAACTTGTTCCTGTCAAAGCTCCTAAAAACTACAGCTTACAAGGCAAATGAATATCTCCTATGTCAATAAACCACAACACTTCTCTCTTGAAAAACTGATTAATGTCCCCCCTCTCTCTCTTGCAGATATCCACTTCTCTTTTATGCTAAGTTCCATTCCTTCTTTTCCCTTTAGTTGGCTTCTCTCTGTCTCTCTCTCTCTCTCTCTCTCTCTCTCTCTCTCTCTGTGTGTGTGTGTGTGTTTGAGTGAGGGGGGGGGATGCCTCTGACTGCATCATCACTATTCTTCCACTGGAATGACACAGTTTTAATGTTTTTAATAAATATCTAATTCTTACCATTAAGCCTCCTGTTGTATTTCTGATCAAGAGGGCTCATTTTGAGGGTAATAAGTGCACTTAAAAACTGAGAAGTGGAATGGCAGTAATAATACTTTAGCACTGATGTAGTCCTTAATCAAATCTGATGCCATTTAATAGAGAACAAGTATATTCACATATTAGACATTTTAGATACTGAACTAAACAAACAACAAAACTAAACAAACAACAAAATTCCCAGAGTATAAAGAAACCAACATACAACTACATCTACCATGTACCAAAACTGATAATTTTACAATATGACCCTAAAATCTACCACAAAACACACAATCAGTACTGCACATGCATTTTAAAAAACTTTGTGTACCAATTCATATAGCTTTGCAGACAAGGGGCGGGGGGGGGGGGGAATCAAACATTTTCTCAGGCACTTCCTGTACAAGGTTGAAGTACATTTAAACAGAATCATTCTAACTAACTGACACTGAAATGCTGGGGACATGCCCAACTTTAGCACTGTTTATCCTGCATGAAGGCAATGGGGAAATTTTTATTTCTGCTAATGTTTCAGAAATACATTTCTGCTTATTATTCTTTACCAACTGCACAACTCCCAGCATATTTCATGTCTGCTGATCAATAGTGCATACTTGTGTGGAGAACATGCCAGAGTGAATGTAAGTAAACTGTAGGCCTCTAGTACACTTAGCAAGTTCTGTTAAATACTGCAACAGAGTGTCAACGTGAGCGCACTAAAATGAATGACAAGACATGTGGCTGCAACACCCCTCAGTAGATGCAAGAGTGTGCAAGGATAACCTCACAGCATTTTGTAACTAATTGAAACCATTTTTTACTCATTAAAACACTTAAGAAATGTGTCATTACATTTTTTTCTCCCATTTGCTTAGCTCA